AAGACTCTCCATTCCAGCAGGAAACACTACTACTTTCACTGCTGATTTGACCAGAAGAGACTTGAGCAACTGGGATACAGTCGCACAAAACTGGTTCATTAGCAACTACACTAAAACAGTTTATGTTGGTTCCAGTTCCAGAAACTTACCATTGAGTCAGGATTTGGCTTAAGAGGGGGTGATTGTATAGGATGGGATGGAGTGGGTCATGATGAACCAGATTTAATACATAATGACGGGGTGTGGAAAATGAATGGCAGGATGGCCTGTTGGGTATGGCTACGTACATATTTTATGAAGTTATGAAATGATACATATGACATGGATATATATTTTGAGATGGCTTTGTGACTTGACGAAAATGATGATAGAAATTGTGTATCAAAGAGGGAAATGAATATACTTGGTAGTAGTTATAATTGGCTTTTGGTATAGATGGACGTAGAAAATTGAGTTGTGTTCTATGTTTGACAGATAATATGTTGGTAGATGAGTTGAAAGAAATGGAACTCGTAAATGAATATGTAACTCTATGTGGTGTTATGAACTCAGAGCGGCGTGTTTGAGTATAATGCGAAAGGGTAGGTAGGTAGGCGCTTGCTTGGTAAGTAGGTAAATTGGAGATGTGGAATGGGAATCTTGCTGGGGATTTTTTTAATTTTTTTTTTGGATGGATGGATGGATAAATGTATTTGGTATTTGATATTTTGGTGTAGATTTTTGGAGATTGGGGTTTGGAGTTTTGAAGATTGGGGTTTGGAGATTGGAGTTTGAAGTTTGAATTTGGAGATTGGATTTGGAGTTTTGAAGATTGGGGTTTAGAGATTGGAGATTGAAGTTGAAGTTGAATTTGGAGATTGGATTTGGAGATTGAATTGGAGTTTTGAAGATTGGGTTTTATTGTAAGAGATGAAGAGATGGAGAGATAGATAAAGAACTCAACCAGCTGGGATTTTTTTCTTGGTAAGTGAGAGATGGAGAGATGGAGTTATTGGTGTGCTTTAATATATCTAGGTATAATATACATTTCTGGGTAGGTACTTGGGTATTTGGGTATTGTTTTCTGGAAATTTGAGTTCTGAGTGTTTGTTGGGGTGGGGAGGGGAAGGGGGAGGGTGTGGATTTGGATTTGGATTCGGGGTTTGTAAAGGTTGTAGAGTTGTGATTTTTATTTATTATGTTTGTTATATTGGTTGTGAGATATGGTTTTTGATTTGCTTGCTTGAGTTTGATTATTGGTGAGGGTGAGGGTGAGGGTGAGAGTGAGGATTTCTTGATTGGTGAGTTTTGTTTTGCTTTTTTCTTGGGGGGGGAGAGGGAGGGGAGAAGAAATTTGTGAAAGAGCTTGGTATGAATGAGATGGAATGAGATGGAATGAGATAAGGGGTTCGGATTTCTCTATTTCCTTCTGTGTTACTCTAGTTTGATCCTTTTTGGAGGGAGAAAAGAAGGGGGAGGAAGAGGGAATTATATAGACATATAGGGAATTTGGATATTTTGAAATTGTGGGATTAGGGAGTTTATTGACAAGGAGATGAATACTTTTGGGATGAGGGAGAGAGATGGGGATTAGGAAGATATTGAAGAGAAGTTTCTTAAGTATATACTGCGTTATATGGGAGCAGAACAGGAGATATATTTCAGACTCTGAAGAGACCAAGAGTGAGATTTGGAGGGGTGGAGATGGAGAATTAGTCGGATGATTGGATGGATGCAGGTTTGATGGAGGGTACGGGTAGAGAGTCTATGAGTAAGAGAGATAGAGAGAAGTTACAATAGAGATAATGATCGGGGATTGAGTTCTTCCCAGGAGAGAGGAATCAGAATTATGTTTGGCTGTGTAAAGCTTTTAGTAGGAGAAGAAGGAAAGGAGAGGGGAGTATAATTTTACATTCGATGGCTAAATATATAGATAGAAGACGAAACCGATACTTTTCATGGAGGATAGTATAATTATTCATTTCTCAATAACAGTAGATGAGAATAAAGATTCCCTAATATCCGGATCTTATGAGTGAGGATTTCAACGTCTTGGATTAATCTCGTTTTTTTATTCTTTTTTTTTGGCGTGATCGAGAGTCTAGAGTCTGTGGATTTGTTGCGGAGATCAAATTCAAGGAATGGAATGGATATGTGTGTTTGGGTTTGGATTTATCAGAGGGTTGATTGTTGAGTGCTTGTGGGTTGAGTTGTGGAGTGAGAGAGTGAGAGCGTGAAGGAGTGAAAGACTCTTAATCACCTCAAATATAAATGACATTCCATGATATCTCACAAGAAACTCAAATTTGAATAGCTATCCCTCACACACCGTAGAAATATTATATCCTATATCATATATTAGAACTAATGCCCATCCATGAATATTCACATCGACATCCCATCTCGATTCATCTGCCCTCAGTATTCATCACACCTCTACAAATCCAATGGAATAATCAACACCAAAACTCGGGATTTGACATCGTGGTCTGATGAAAATCAAATCAAGAGGTTTGTGAATACATACTAGGTGCTAGGTATATTCATTTCTTATCCTGGTATCTGATATTTGCAATCTGGTTATTTACTATTTATTAAATGACTGATCTTGATGATACTATAACATCTTCATGGATTCGTGGATATTGTATTGATTGGATTATCATATATGTATGTATGTAGTATGAAGTAAAACGAAGGAGGAAATTTAACCATTTGATAAAAAACAGTCTGATATTAGATTACATCTTGGGTGGTGAGGATTGTGGATACTAGATATGCATTTTTTGACTTTATATATATCACTGACGCATTCAAGTAAGTAGATGGATGTATCATTGTGTATCTTTTCAACGATGAATAATTAGAATTAAGCTACAAAAGTACAAGAAGAAGTAATCTCTAGGCAAGAAAACGAATGGTTAAGAATGACACGAGAAACAAAACCCATCCGCAGCATACACTCCAGTGTTCCTCTTCATATTCCCAACTCAATCGCTAGAACATTTGTCCGTTTCCGATTCCTATTGTAGTCTTACCTCTATCCTCCTATGCCCACGTTATCAATAAACAATGTTTCTTCCGACTCCGATGCTCAAGTGATGCCTTCCAGGCGCGTACAAATATAAATCATCATCAAGCATGTCAACTCTGGCTTGCATCTAGATCCATCTTCAAACGATTCCTCAATCTTCATCTTCATGAACTATGATCTTTGGATGACTGATTAGCGACATCAATATTCGGCGACTCATCAACTGCATTGCTAGAAGCCCCCTCAACTCCAGCATTGCTAGTAGTGCCACTTTGCGTATTCAAATCACCATAACTAGGTAATTCATCCAGTCCACCACTATTCAAACATCTCGCTGCTCCTCCAGTAGCAAGCTGAATTGTGACGCCATGCGTCGTCGAATCTCCATAACTCGGCAACTGATCTTCACTTGCATTTCCAGCGAGCCCCTCCCCACGAGCTCTCGTTTCACTAGGACCAGACACATTGCTCGAGCTTCCTACCACTTCCCGATTTTCCTCTCTCTCACTCCACAACATTCTTTTCTTCCTCGATATCTTATCCAACTCCAAAGAAAAGAAACTTATCGCCCGTGTGTTGTCTACTCGTCTCGCAACCTCAATCTGTTCTTTGAGATCTTTTTCTTCCCGTTCCAATCGACAATACCTCTTCCACTCCTCAAACCAAAAACACAAGAGTGCCACGACCAATTTCTGACCACTGATCGAAAGACTCGTAGAAGCAAGCTGATGCGGGAAGTTCTTGGTAATCGCGGCCGTTTTGACCGGATGCTCATCTTCCATGCTGTGTCTCGGGGCCAACATCCCAGGTTCAAGAGCAGTGGGTGCCTCTAATATGATACCGTGTTTGACAAGAGCTTTCTGGATCTCCACACTGGAACTTTCCATATCGACAATGTCGGTTACCATAAAAGCTCGCTCGCCGAGATACATGGGGTGCGGAAGACGTCGTTGATATTTGATGAGAGCATCGGCTTGAGCGGGAGTGAGAGAGACATCGGTGAAGGGGTGAGCTTCGGAGAAGACATTGCCGACGGCATGGAGGAAGGCCCCGGAGAGTCTGCGGACGCGTTCCATGATCGCTGAGGGCCTTGGTATCACCACACTATTGTAGAAATTTCTCGTGGCTGATTGGATGATATTTGGTAGGTATGATAAGATGAGATGAGATGATGTCCTGATGTGAATGCAAGGTACTATGGCTTGCCCTTGTTCCGCATATAATATTGAGACTGGGATGATTTGAATCTGATCATGGAAGGTGCTCACGAACAAAAAGGCAAGTTATCCACGAATGAGGGGTATTAAATTGCGCACACGTTTCGTACCCACGGCATCTCCATTCACCGTTGCACGCAGATAAAAGAATCGATCTTATTGGTTCAAAAGAGCCAGACGGACTGGAGAAGAGGAATAAGGCTACCTAGATATCCAAGGATTTCTTATCAAAGTAGCATTACCATAAAGATAAAGATAAAAATAATGCAACCCCGCTTTCAACCGACTGCGAAGCTGACACACAGATGCCACATTGAGAAATCAAGCACGAGACGCTGAAGGATGGTTGCAGCAAGGGCTTCAGCTGAAGTTTGGGTCACGAAATGATCACTTGAACAACTTATCTCGTGACCATTTGGGCCAAATGTTTGGACATGCACATCGTTACTCGGGTCTTGGAAATGGGGACGTCGTCGTCAATATTGTTGGGAGGCGTCTTGTAGAATCAAATTCGCATACTTGCAAAGGAAGGTTAATCCCTCCCCACAATTAGCCAATACGAGGGACAACACAGTATGACAAGTGCAAACTCCGTACCTACTACCTAGACCTCGGGATATCAAGATACTGTGCCATGCCATGCCATGCCATCCTTTGAGGCGTCGTCAACCTCAACAACTATCGTGGCGATATTCATTAAGCAATGATACCCATCCATACAAAAGAAAACCGAGGCTGAATCAAGAAAACAGCTTAATCAAGTAAACGATTTAATTTTTCAAGAATGATTCGAGAATGACAAACCCAAAAGTATTGACGTGGTGTTGCACTGCCACAACGGCTTGTGTCGAGCATCGTTCAACCTGTCGTCCGTGATGAAAATTGTCTGTTCCCGACTCGCGATTACGAACGGCTTTATGCGCATTGCCCTCGACTAAAATTTTCGCCCCTCTCGCTGGCAATGTCTGTCTAGGAAATAGAGAAACATTGCAGATATTCCGCCTTGTGTTCAGCTGATCCAGGATACCTACTTATGCCACGTTGATCGCGTTAAACTTATGCCTCTCCTCGTACAGGCATTTTGGGTCTATCGGGGTCTATCGGTGGCATATTCGTAGTGATCTACTGACTAAGAGACTGAGTGCGTTTGGGATCTTGATTCTTGATCTGATAACCGCATCGCCAATCCCGAAGCCATTGAATAGTTCGTGGTGTTGTGGTTGCGGTCATCAATATGGCTGTGTTACATTTAGAAACACATTTCGAAGCCTGATACAGTCAGGGATTTCTGAGGGATATCTATTGATGGGGCTAACAAACAGGGCCGTCACATTTATGCCATGGAATCTTAAACAATTACGTGCCCTACGTGCGATTTGTATGGAAACGGCAGTTCTAGCTATTCCAAACCTCGGATGATGTGATAGATCTCATGTGGATCAAGCGTGGTGAGAGAAAAAGAGGACAGGGCACGGCGCCAAATGGTAACGGCGATCCGAATCAAATATCTTCTGGACGAATCCGCAACGTGCTTTTCCGAATACCAAAAAATGGAAAGCCGATGTCATGCGTCACACTGCGTTTGTACCCTCTTTCCCAGACCATAAAGTACAAGTATCTAAGCGCGCATGTAGAGTCACCTGTTGATGTTACCCTTACCTGATGGTATTCCTTGTTACGTATCGTGAGGGTTCTCGGGCAGCAAGATAGACACTGACATCCTCAAAAGCGCTTCGATGCGGCCAAGGACAGATGGTGAATGCATGTAATAGGTTGGAAAACTGGGAATATCGCTCACCGTAAGATACAGTACTCAAATGCGGGAAGAGTTTCAGCAAAGTTTGTGCCCTTGTGATCATGTCCTCCATAGATTCTCCGCCATTGAAATATCTTCCGACGGTGAAATCGAATGGAAGTCACGAGAATGAAGGGGGTTGACATTTGATCTCGTGAATTACCTAGTAGGATTGATACCGTTACGGCGTTACCTACCTACCTATTGATCAATGATGGATACCTACCATGATGTGTACCTACCTAGTCGGCTTGTAATGGATCCGAGGCTTGATGATTCATGAATCAATCAATTGGTGTACGATGTCGAGACGGTTGAGATTGTATAATTGTACAGTAGTGCAAGAGTGCAAGTCCTGGGATATTTCTGAGTCGTGCCTACCCACGACGGCAAGTTCATTGATGCCGGATGCAAGGCCCTAAGCCCGCAATAGTTAGGCAAACTCTAGTTTATAGTAGCTGGGTAATATAGGTCGATGCTAGATAGCCCTGCTCGGGCATGCCCGTTGACTATCACTCAAAAGCGGCGAGAAGGAGGGGAGACAGTTAAACATCTCGCGTGGCGGTGCAAATCTATTTTTTTATACATCATAAATCAACTTTATTAAAACTAAAATAAAAAAATAAAAAAGCAAGCTGTAAAAACATGTTGTTACCAATTCGGCACTCTATCTACCCATTTACCTGCCTACCTATCAAGTATAATGTCTAATTATAGAAATACCAGCCCAAATGTTCGGAAAAAGCATGTGGAAAAAATGCAGACGGTTCCATTGTAACGTCGCCACACCTCGTTACATCCTATCGTATAGCTTAAAACGCGTACACCGAGATTTGCTCAATGACTGTGCTTCTCTAAGAGGTTCATGCTGTGAGGGTCATTGCCAGTATAGACCCTGAATTTGCATCGCAGGAACCTGTTCCTATGCATATCTACACACCCACCATGATGTGCTCCCTATACCTGTGCGTGAAGGAATGATGACCTTCAACGAATACATACTCTGATTTATCATTGCTTCCCCAAGAGCGATATCGTTGCAAGTGCATGACTGGTGGAACGGCAAGTTTACACGGTTTCGGTTGGCAGGATTGCACCGGCTCGAAAGTTGGTTTGTGCGAATCAGAGCCCAGAAACGAGCTTTTGACAGCGACGCTACTTTTCGCAACTGGGATGGGCTTTTGTGATAAATGCCATCCACAGGCTCAGATTCATCGACAACGACTCAGTCTAGTAGAAAAATTGTCAGAGTTTTAACCATCCACAGTCCACCTCTAAGAAATGTTTCGTCCGTCGTACCCCGGAAGAGTGGTGTCGCTCGCTGCTTCATTTGTTTGACTTTGTACATGGCCATGGCTCGCACGAAGAGGAAACATGTCAGGACTCAGGAGAGTTCTGGAACTTCGAAATCTATTCATGCAGGAGATTCCAATTTTGGTGTATAAATGGGTAGATTATCGATGAAATAGGGTCAATATCCGGCCGTTCGTGCCTCCAGTCTCAGACTGGAAGATCCATAGTCGTCGTGAGGCTTCAGAGAGGTCTCTTAATCTCCAATACCTATGTAGATTATGGAGATGTATGAGATTAGAACAAACTTTGTCTTGAACAGAATCACTGTGAAAACCTGTATGATGTTTCACATTGTTGACGTAACCTCACCATGATCAATTGTCTGCCTTTCTGTATGCGCTGAATATGCGTATGCATTGTGCTGTGCTGTACTGTGTGGAGATGCAGGTTTGGGCTTGATGCAAGTCATCTTTTCATCGCCGGCCGAAGTTGAGGCCAGATGATATTGGCGATATGGTCAAATGTAGGAAAAATAAGGCGGACTGCATATTGCAACATGGGTTTGATTAACTTAAGTAGGTAGTATCTGGGTGTAGCAGCGAAAGAGGAGTATAAAAACGATAAAAGTGGTAAGGTAGCAATGAGAATTGTGAAGTCCGGTGAGTAAGAGCCGAGAGAAAACCCAATTCATCCACCCACAGTTATGATGCAGTGGGAGAGAGATCTCAAGCTTTTCGAGGTTAGTTTTACTCTCTTGACGCATCATACCAGAAGATAGTAGCCATGTTAGTTTTTAGGACAATATGAAATTAAAGAGATGGTTATTGGAAAGGTTTGGGAAGGTTTGGGAAGGTTTGGGAAGGTTTGGGAAGATTTGGGAAAGTTTGGAAGAGGTATCATCGTTGCAATCTCCGTGAATTGACTTTGCTTCTCTCATCATCGAAGTCATTGGTACGGAGTTCACCACGGCCAGCAATCAATAATTATCTATGATGACTGATTGATGACTGAGATGATTGGATCTTACCCGATCGAGTATAGTTCCCATAGTTTCCATCATCTCAAGGTTGTTTATACTTTTCCGTGCCATGGTCAATGTCAATGAATGTCAATGTCAATTCCCTACCTAGTCAGCTAGTCTACCATACCGGTACCATCTAGTACCGGTATACCATGAGATGATTATTCTTCATATGTCAAAAACTCTATCGATTGCGATCAAAATTCAATCAAATTTGACTTTGGAGAGCGGCACCCCAAACGGGACGACGGAAACTAAATGCATACAAATACGATGGGATCTTCAAGGACGTCGCTCTTCTTCTGATTACCGATTATTTCCATCTCATTGTATTGCATTTTGCATTTTGCATTGCAATGTTACACCCTCGGCAGAACCAAGATGATGATACTAATTCATCGTATCGTATTTTCGTCGCCTTTCTCCGGTGCTTCGTGGGCTGTGGTACGGCCGTGCATGTATGATATTCCTCTACCACGACCCAGGTAGGCCTAGGTAGAGGTGGTAGATGTAGAGCTACAGGACAATGTGAGATGGTCAATGGCCATTAGTGATCAAATAGAATCTGCTCCACGATACCGGGAAGTTCTCTGAGAAAACAATTGCAGGATTTTTACGGAGTACATTAAACTTTCAGCTGCAATGGTGACTGAAAGTGGATAAGTGGAAAACTCATTATCAGTCATCTTTTGATCACTTTTTATTGGCAAATGTCCAGCCAGGGCTTGGGCTTCACAGGACAGGGCTTCATTACGGTGCAGCGTGCACTGTGCATTGTGCAGGTGGGTGGCCATTAGCTATTCTTCGTTTTCTTTGCTCACAAAATAAAAATACCAGGGACCCTATTCAGTGGTATGCAGGTCTAATGCTCTAATGCAGCACTGCCCCCAGCTACTGCTTCTCTGCTTCTCTGCTTCTCTGCTTTTTGCTGCATCGGTCTCTGTCTGTTCTGTCTGCTGCATCTGCTGCATTCGCTGCATTACTGCCACTATTGTTAGCATCCCCCCCTTTCGAGTATCTTTTTGTTCCCACCGACCCGTAATCTTTCGATCTCTGCGGACGAAATTCAACGAATGAGGTATTTCGTCGGAACTTTTTTCAAGATGTGATGCGAGTGGAGACGGGGGATGGAGGTGGCATTGGTGTAATCTACAATATACAAGACTACTCTCACCCTCCCTCCTCTGCTAGACTGCTACACTTTACCACTTCCAGTATCTACTCCTAGCCTCTTTTACCACACCACATCTTATCCAAACTGGATCAAGCCTTCAGATAGAAAGTGGCTACGTCTAAAGTTAAACCTTACGGGTACTACCACTAAGGGAATTCAAGATTTTCCCATCTACGAAGCATTCATCATACCTCGCCTTAACTACCAACCTACTTCACCCTTCATCCCTACGAGCCGATCCCGCCGCTTGACTAGTAGCTGATCGTTGACCTCTTATAACAACCCCACCATAACCCCTTCAACTCTTTTTTCTTACCCTTTCTTCTTCACGACCTCATTCGTCCGTACCTTTTTCGATATTTATTCAAGGCGCGCAAACTAGATCCCTTGTCTCGGGACCGCCAAAATATTTATCTTCATTTCATTTCAACACGCTGATTTTCCATTTCCCATATCTTCGTCACGGCAAGCTCTCGCATCTTTACACATCCCTGACCTATTGTCCTCGAATATCTATCCGTATCATCACTCCGTACCCCGTCTCCCATACTTTCCGTCAACCTTTACTCCAATGCCTCCTCAATTACTACCTGCTTCGGCAGCTGCCTTTGCCCCAAGAGCTTCATCCGTCAATGTTGTGTTGAGTTCAAAGGTTGAGCCATGGTTAACACAAACCTTAAAGCGTATAAATCGTATAAAGCGTCCTCTAAACAGTGTACCCCAGCACCAAAGATGCTTAACGGAAACGCTATCTTCGTCAACAGCTATATGGACTCTTGGATCTTTGATGTTATCGAAAGCCCCGGAACAAAGACGCGAAGACTCAAACCCACTAGTTGAGGCCATGTTCAACTATCAACTCATTCACATCGAAGCTTATGTTGTTCATGTGGATATGGTATTAAGAAATGAGGTTGCCTACAAACTTACTCCAGATACGATAGAATCACTTATCGAGTTTCACAAAGATGTTCATTGCCTAGATATTGCAGCGAACACCTACAACTGGTCAGAGAAGGATCAACAAGTGAAGAAGATGCACGAAGACTTCATTCAAGCTATTAACAAGTTCGTCTACCGAACTCATGTCTCTGCATTAGAAGGATTGGAAGAAGATGGCGCTGGTGAATTGTTGTGCGGTAAAAGTGATGAAGTCAAGAACAATATCATGGGCCTTTTCCTTCCTCTACTCCCCCCACCACCAAGGGTCGTCGATGTGGTTAGACCTGCTACTTTATTGCCTAGCTCCCCAGCTGGCATGAATTGGTGGTCGCAACCCACGATACCAGTAACAACCGCAGCTCCTGTTGACCCATGGAGGATGGTTCCTTCAAGTCCAAGTACGACATCTTCCATGTCCTCTGCAACCGACACTCAATCTTTATGGGCAAGTATGGGCTTGAATGAGATTCAACTGCCTTCCCCTACACCATCTTATAGCCAACCATTCACCACGGCCGGACTCTTCTACAGCGCACCACAAGTTAGTGCGCCAATTCCAGCACTTCCTCTACCAAGCATGTTAGCACAACAGCATTGCGGTATCGGTATGGGGTATGGTGGATTTGGTGGGTTTGGAGGTGGATGGGACCGATATCAGGAGTACGCTACAACGATGTGACAACCAAGGCCTGGATCGTTAAACAACCCCCCTACTACCCGCTCCGGGGTTTAGGGCAGGCGACAGTATCACACATAATACCATGGCTCAAAGCCTCTGTACACGACAACAAATATTACATACATGGCATCGGCAAACTTCTTTAGCGGCATTTGATACCTCTGAGGGCACTTAAGGCGTTTTTACATCTTCATTATCATCCTCATCAGCGATCGAGCGAACAAAAGATATCCTGGGAACAAATCATACTTAATAATCAGCAAGAACAACAATCTCCTTTCATTACAGATACATAATAGGATACCATTTTTTCTATCTTTTTGGTTTTTTCATTTTTTTTTTTTTTTTTTTTTAGCGCAGCGAGTTTGGATTTGCTTTTACACGACACTACACAACCGCAAGACCGGTTCAACCAATTTTCCTTTTCATCGCATATGGCAGGACCTAAAGGCGGGTTATTTTGAAGCATTTAGTGGCATGGTTCCAAGATTTTCATATCATAAAGAGAATACCTTATTAAAAGGATAACGCAGCAATGCAGGGCTTCACGGGCGCGTCTGGATACATTGATTTTTGACTTTTCTTTTTACGTTTGAGATATTATCTTACGTTTGTTTTGGGAGGAAGGAAACCGGCTTTTTCTATGTCCATTTCCTTTTTGTTTCTGTTTATGAATTTATGAATCATGGATGCTTATGAATTTTGCTTGGACAAAGATCAAGGCATATATATGATTTATGGATTCACGAAAATAGAAATTGGGACCATAAAAAGATCATCTGCTGCGCAGATCGACACAACCAATGGACGAGATACTAGTCTTCCTCTGTGCGGACAGCAATCAACGGACAAATTGTTTAGATGAAATCATCAAACTGCGACCATTTCAATTCTCGCTAGTCGAGGTTGGCATTGGAAGCGAACAGCCTAGATCAAGTTATTCTATCAGGAAAGACAGATTCTTTCAGAAATACACTCAATACCGACTCATTATCTCGAATGCGGATCGATCAATACCTGCAAGTCGGGCGATTGAATCTTACATGTTGGGGGTGGGCTAGTTATTTGGGTGGATTTGTGTAAGGGTTTGGATGTTCGGTAGAAGAGGGAGTGAAGGGCAAATGGTAGCTCATCACTACCTCTTCTAAACACTATCCCACACTATTATACTTGATGTATAGTAACTTGAAGGTAGTGTTTGGAAGAAAGCTGAAAATTCTCTCTCGTCCTGCGGACAGAGTTAGATAGAGGTATCGATGCAGGTTTCTTTTTTTCGGCACAGGGCAAGGGAACAAAGGGAACGGAATCTATCATACTGGCTATGTGGATTATGGGA